AACAAGGGGCCGTTTGGCGTGCGCATGCGCCAGTCTGTTGAAAATTCATTGAAATTCATTAGTGATTCACTTCAAGCGAGAAATTACAACGACACGAAGGACAATTTCCAAAAATGTTTTTGGCTGTTTTTGACCCTGAAATGTTCTGTCATGACTCAAGAACACTCATAAATAGTGTAACCTACAACGAGGAAAAACACTGGCGTTATTGGACTGATTGGGACCGTTTAAAATCTTATTTAACAAATGTTGATATTAATGACTTTGTGTTTACAATATCGGAGGCTGCAGTGGTTTATATACGCAACTACTATTCCAGTTTTTGCTGAGTGCTGGTCAAGATTCAACGCAGGTCATGAAGTAAATGGTAAATGTACACATGGAGTAATATAATTAGGCGTTGTTTAGTAACATCGACCTCGAAATGTTCGAAAGACAGTTTCTTGAAGTGTACAATATTTACGCTTAAATATTATTAACTGTTACATGAAATACTACTTTCCTTTTATATACCACCAGGACTCATCAGAATAAGGCTACCAATATCAAGACTTATGCTTTGCAAATGGTTTGATAATGCTTTCTTGTCTATGAAAAATGTGGAACGGTGTTAATTCTGCAAATTCTTACGTGCTGTTGAGCACTCACGACAAATTTAGCATTCTTTTGGCTGAAGAGTTGAGCTTGTTTGAATCAAGTTATCATAAATATCTATGTGTAGTTTTATAGCTGTATCATTATAAGTTATGAAATAAACTATTGCAGTGMAATCGATTCACATCTTAGGAATTTATTATTGCTAAAGGTGTGCCCAAATAATTCACTACATTTTAACGGTACAAAGTGGCTTCGTGTTATAAATCTAGCCCGAGACTCACAGTAATTTATATAAAGTTTGAAAGATATTCGTGTGCATTGTAAATATATCTACTTGGTTTTGTTTGGAAAAATGTGGAAGATAAGTAAAAACATCAATTATGTTCAGAATCGAAGCTTCCGCAGCTACTACAATGTTATTCTACCCGTATTCTAGAGCCCATGGTCGTTATAACGCAGCGGTTGCGCGCATGCTCATGCAAAACGGCCCCTTGTTGACATTGTTAGCCGTGTTATGTGTGCGCGCGTTGTGATTGGTTAAGTAGATCAACAAGGACCAATCAGGTGCCGTGTAATATGCGCGCGTTGTGATTGGTTGTCTAAAAATAGATTATCGGGACACCTGATGGTGACCGATTATTAGCGAGATGGACACTTCTGGTTATGTACTTCTGTGTCGACAGAAATAAATGAATCAATAAATAAGGGAAACACACATTTTACTAAAAAAAATTTAAAGTCGTGTTTGTCAAGGGATCCATTAATAACAGGATTCGCATTGTTAAAATGTTTTCATATGTAGGATTCATTATTTAAATACTCAGTTTTGTTTCTTCTGCGTTGGTTTTAATTTTCCGAGCTTTCGGACAACTTGTCCATCATCAGGGCAATATGAAATTACAATGCATTGCTCTACCATCTGAGACTATAGACAACAAGGAAAATTAAGATAATATATTTAGACCGCCCTATTTCTATCTAGTGTCGGCTCGCATTGATATGACAAATATTGGCGTTGACTAAAATTGGTGTTGGCGATTCAATGGAACTTTCGCTTGGCTGCAAAGTTTGAAAAAACTATTTTTTTRTATTTCAAAATCCTATGTGCATTGCGATAATTTCTTCCTTTTCTCATGTTTCTCTCTTTCTTTTCTTGTTGTATTTTCGTTTGTTTTACAAAATTTTTGTATGCGGGAAAATCGCGCGAAATTTCTTGGATGCACGCCAGGCTTTGATTATATGCACGGATAAGGTGTAGTATTTCTATAACCATCGCTGAACTAGAATTATTTAATTCTCTCACATTTTCTCTTCTCTTGGCAGAAACCGCAAGTCTTTATGCAATTCCTTTCTACCCAATATTCACTATAACACTTGCCCTCTTTTGCGAATTGCTGACATAGAGTAGTCATCATGATATCCTGGCCTTGAAAAAACAAAAGTCACTCCTATTCCTGCTATTGATCTAAGCATTATTAAACACGGGAAAAAATCGCGCGCTTTAAAGGTTGTAAATTTGATGTAAATGTGATGTAAGTGTCCAAAATTCGGTAAATTTGACGTAAATGATTTCCATTAAATTTACAGAATTTTGGACACTTACATCAAAAGTGCGCGATTTTTTCCAGTGAAATCTCAATAAAAATGTACTTACAACGTCGTCGCTTGCCAATYTCTGAGTTAAACGCCGTGGCTGAAGTCACTACAACAAGAGATGCGACAACGAGGAAACCTTTGAACATCGTGCTTGTATCTAATAGTTGAAATAGAATAACGAAGATATTTACCATCAGGGTTTTCCTTTAAGCTTAGCAAAGAAAARACAAAACAATTTTGATCTCCTTTAACCGTTTTATTACCTCCCTATGAAGCTATGAAGTCAGTCGCTCACTGAAAAACCAACCAATCAACAAACACACACAAATATATAAATAAAAGAAAAAAAAGRAAAAAAACTCCACTGAAATCTTTAACGGGATAGAGATTTACCGAAAAATGTTCGCTGTCTATAGATCACCAGCCACTAATTACTACAACAATTTAAAACACAAAAAATAAGACGGCTTACCTGTTGAGTGCTGCTATAAAWTAAGGTTTGAGTACAGAGTAGTACCTGTTGCAATAATGACTAAAGGGTGTCCCTCTTCTATTTATATCAATTCTTCACATTATATCAATCCAATTACTATACAGTTATAATATCCGCCAAGAAAAGTAAAAGCGAAGGTGAATGCATATGGTTCTTTGTACTTTGTTTTACTAATATAGTGGCGACATGAAAACGGATGACAGTATTCACCGCGAGACTACAACCTTTATYTGTTTATATGCAAGTTATTCTAAAGCAAATTTTACAAAGTCTTCCACATTGTCTCTGAATAGACTGAGATATAAGCTTGTTTTACAACATGAATAAAATCAAATTTAATCTTATTCCATGTTGAAGCGAGGCGTCTCTCTGTCGCGACCCTTTGGGATTGTAAGGCGTTACTGAGGTAGTTGGTTGTTGCCATGTGTTTAGATTGCATGCTTCATTATGTCTGCATTCAGTGCTCATTATTTTTATTCTTGTTTCCTAAATTGTTAATCACGATTTGGTTTTTGGTAAATGAGATCGAAGAACTGCAATAAAGGGCTGTCAATGTCGAAATCTTTKAAAGCGTCCCAGCTCTAACCAACTATCCTCTTTTCCATTCCARTACTCTCAGTCAGTATCATTGATCCTTCTAATACGATAATTACTGTTTAAATACGAGTAACAGCACTTTTAAACATATCAATGTGGCAGCCGGGTGGAATTGCATTTTCTTTAAACAATAACCTTTTCCCGGTTATCTATTCTAGAGTTTATAGTTCTTCTTTCCATTAAGTTGATCTTAGTAAACCTAACAAATTTTGTAGTATACTTTAGATCATTCAATTAAATAACTAGACGATCTTAAAGCGCTCACGTATAGGAGTGTTTGTTGGACTATGACATATGAGTTTGAATACAGCACAAACAAAGTGCCTTGCGCCGACGCCCCCCTTCCGGCTACACTGATCAGTAGTACTTCTTGCCTTGTCTTACTCTCTTGGTAAGTATAAGCAACGATTTATATATCAGTTATAATGAGAAGAGTTAATAGTCCTCAACTTTAAAACAATTTCACACTAAAATTTATTTATTTATTCATTTTATTATTTCATCTGTTAATTTTAAGCTACTGTTGTCTCGTCTATATTGGTCTACAGGCCGCTGCATGGACCCCTGCGGCATGTTTTGTTACATACAAATTTCATCCATCGTGAACTTTTACAGTGGTACGAGAATCGGCTACAGGAAGATGGAAATATGTCGAAACCTTAAAAAAAAATAAACGCGTTTAAGTAAATGCAATGGTGTAAAAGTGACTTGAYGGTATAAAATGCTCGCTATTGGCATTTACATTCGTCCTCGAGGTCTAATTCATAAATTACATGAACTGTTCACTAAAAGTCACTCATGGTAGGGAATTAAGCAAAAAGCACTAAACATTTTGTATAAACCGCATAACAATCGAATAAAATGAAAATGAAAACAAGCAAACCGCAAACTATGAAGATCTAAAAGACCGTAAACTTGAACCCAAGTGAAAAAACGTAAAAATAAAACCTAAATCACGTAAATGCAAACCTTACGACTCCTCCTGAGGGCTATTCGATGAATGTACTAAGACGTTGTACGTTGTAAATACAGTCGTGAAATGTTAATCATTATTTGATTGTTTATTATTAGTTGATCATAATTTATTCATAAAAAATATATTTCCATGTCATTACTCACATTTTACTTCCGGTTTGCAAACTTTGCAGGTCAAGCGACAGTTCTCGGACATCCTTCTGTTGGAGCTGCAAAGACGTTGAAATTTCTTGCATGTTCGTGTCCCAAACTTGTCTTCGCCTTCATTGAAAAACGAAAAAGCGTCATTATATCTGCGTCTTAAACAGATTGATTGTCAGCAAGTAGATGGGTACGTAAATCAGTGCGACATGGTCTGTTCTGATTCAGTGGTTCTGCATATGTCAATCGTAACAATTATCAGTCACTGGAAAAAATCTCGCGCTTTAAAGGTTGTAAATTTGATGTAAATATGGTGTAAGTGTCCAAAATTCTGTAAATTTAATGCGGGAAATCATTTACATCAAATTTACAGAATTTTGGACACTTACACCATATTTACATCAAATTTACAATCTTTAAAGCGCGCGATTTTTTCCAGCACTAGTGTCACTGCTTGATCGAAATTCGATCGTCTTAACTTATTATAAGTCAACAACACTTACATCCTCGCTTGTCGATAGCAGAGACATCATCCGGGACGTCAATCATTGCAGACGTCACTACAGCAAGGGAAACAACAATTACCAAGAAAATACCTTTAGACATCTTGCTTGGATCTGATAGAAAATAAAGAAAGAAATTATGATATTCTGAAAAAATACTAGTCATTTCATATAACATATCTAACTTGTAGATAGAATATTGTATGGAAGATCCATAGAAAAATTTCTCAGGCATCAGAAAATAGCATTACAGGGCTGGGAACATGGATAATGACGGCTTTAAAATTTGGCGTTACCGTTATGATAGATAACATTAACATTTTTCTGGCAAAACCTGATCAACAACCAAGAGAAAAACATGAAAAAAGAATCAAGATTATTAAATATATCCTAGTCTCACCTTATTCTAACCAGTCTAAGTTTCACAATCGCAGGTTAGAGACCGACTCCCTTCTATTTATGTCCSCGACATGTGTCAACGTAACAAGGGCGTTAACCGGAATCAAAGTTGACTTTTTATAAAAACCGAAACGAAACTGAAATGASTGAATAGCAATTGTAAGAAATGACATTGTAGTTAGATTTTCTGGCAAARATAGGTCTAAAATAATAAATCTTTTCAACAATGTGATCGCCAAATTTKTTTCTAGAAATTGAAAACACTGACCATAAAAATGTGTGTTGGTTATGATAAAAACCACTTGGCAGACAACCTACCAAAAATGGCAAGACTGTCAAGGGTTGAATCTTTACTTATTTACCATAAATACTGAGTCAGATCCCCATTATCACATTGATAAAACCGACAACTGGCGTAGTATTACGTACATGTTCACCATCGAAGTTTATGACGTCAGGTGGTTCTGCTGATGCCAGCGTCTTTCTGTCGCCAGCGGCTCTACTTTTGTGGGGTACAGGTATAGTATTGAGTCATTAGAAATCATATCAAAAAAAATATTCGTTTTTAGGCCGTATGAGCTTATAAGTTTATGATAGTTTCGATTGAAATATATTAGTTTGTTAGTTTGGCTGTTTTGAGAGCTACTGGAATAAGGCATTGCTCTCAGTTTTTGAGTAGGGTAGTAGTAGAATCCATAGGCTAACATCCGTCAGAGAAAAAAAGGAGTTACACTTAGCTTTATAGGAGAAATTTACATGAAATACTCAGTGCTAAATCTGTAATAGAAACGGAAGTCTTTTGTCTGAAAGCGCTCCTTTTATAGATTTAAAAAGAAAAAATTCGTGGCGCTTTCAATGCAATAACGAAAGTACTTGGTAACGTACTGACAGGACGCTGAACAGGATACGCAAAAAGGTAATCTTTATTTATTGAATATAATTATTGCATTGCATTACAAGAGTCTTTTTGATTATATGATAAATATTTTTAGTTAATCACCTTTAATATTTTTTAAGATTACACAATCCCAGTAGCAATAGTTTATTCTCTATTTCTAGAAAGCAACGCAACAACTTCAACGTCTTTTTATGAAAAAGCAAAACTTAGGTATATGCCATCTTTGACTGCATAGGGTTATGTTCCAGCTATCTAAACTAGGATAAACATGATATCGCTAACGACGTACGTCTTCAACGCTCTACGTTCTCAGCAAATTGTCCAAAATAGTTCCCTGGGGGGCTGTAGCGAGCTACAACACGGTATTCTTTGCCTGACGAGGAAATACCAACTCCAACACGTTTAGTTGCTTTCCAAACAACCTAGAGTCAAGCAGAGAAAATCGATAAAGCACTAATCGCTGACATGACAAACTAGCAAGTAAATAA